AAACCAAATACTAAAACAAGAACACCAGACCATAAACTTGAAGAAAGTAGTGCTGGACTAAGTGCAAGCTCTTCCATCCTCTGCTATAGTGTGTGAGTATTATCAAGAATTACATGTTTATGCAGCTCCTTAAATGAGCATTTAAAACCCATTTTGCCAAAGCTGGTAGACTAATCAACCCTCCTTGTATTCCAAAGGGAAGAATCTGTAACATTTCATTATTCGTTTCAGTCAACACTACCCTGTGGTTACTGCATACAGAACAAGCCTTACAAGTCTTTTACCCTAGCAAGTCAGAAAACACCTTCGGATAAACCAGTCCACAATACACATTCAGCTATCTCATGTTCAAAATCAGATTTCTGTCTTTTAGAAATTGATTTACCAGCCCTGAAACTGTTTTGGGCTCTAAAACTTACAGAAAGGAGTCATGGTAATGACCACAATGGTTAATTATTGAAACAGAAAACTAGTCCATACAGCTGAGTTTCTCTCTCAACTTTGATTTTCAGCACTTATTTCAACCAGAGATTAAGAGACTCTTTCATAAGGTTATATTTATTCTGGAGTGTTCATATTGCTTTTTATCTTTTTAAAAACTACCCAGCAGAGATGCAGTGGAATTTTACCTAGATTTGGAACACAGTATTGAAATATTGCTTTAATGGAATTTTCATCTCCCCAAACCCACAAAGAGTAATTAAGTGTATATAAATATAGAATCATTCAGCAACAAGTTTGGAAAGAATAAGTAGCCTCTTCAGTAACACTGTACAGCATTCGCCAGTCAGCACAAGTTTTCCCAGTTAAATATACCTCCAAAGAGATGATTAACATAAAATCTTATGTTAAGGATTTTAGAAAATACATTGCAACAGCAATTCTTATTCTGTATTACTGAATTCAGCCAATTATTTCACAACGGGTTTTTCTGGAAGTTAACTATGATAAAGTCTTGACACTCTACTCAGTTCCTCAGATGTGTCTTGAGTCCCCTCTACTGTGCTTCCTCTCAGCTATTAACAATTTCAGGACTGATTTGTAAGAAATATCTTATTCTTGTTAGCTTAGCAGCATCACAGTTTCTCTCAGAAAAACTAGATGAAAAGCCCATTCAGACAAGGCAGGCTAAGGTACTTTCCCACAATTACAATGCAAGTTAGCAACAACATACTTCAGTGACCGCAGAATCAACTTTTTTTATTAGGATAGACTTCTATGGCTCAAGATCTTTGACTTAAAATAAACCCTGAGGGCTCAATATATTTTACTGAAGTCATTCTTTAAGAATTCAAGGCCTCCCCCCACTCTCAGTAAAGACATATGCTCAAAGCTTGTTTATTCTTTCTGAAACTACAGAATACTACCCACATGGTAGTATTCAGTTTTCAAACAGACATACACACAAAAGAGGAGGTCATTCTTTAAACTGAGGAAGCCTTTGTTTTTTCTCTTAACAAATTGACAGTTATTGTCAATGCATTTGAACTCCCTTAAAGTCTCTGTATCTGCTTTCTTTCCATGAATGCTCTTCCTAATAATTTTCAGAAAGAAAACTGAAGGTCTAATAGCAGCTTCTCCTTACATTCTGTTACTCATCTTCTCACACTCTCACCCAAAGAATTTAAAGTTCTAGCAGCAGGCAGAAATAGTCTAATCATACATATAGAAAATAGCAATAGCAACGCCCACTTCAAAAAGGAGTATTATCAGCCTTTATGTCTTCAATCTTTCTTTATAAAGATCTAAAGGAAATCTTGAGCAATACAACATTCTCAAGGAACAGAAATTAGATATACCTCATGAAGAAGTTTAGTCTAGAGTCATCAAAAATTTAAACTGCATTTTATATATTTAAAAGGGATACACTGCTCAGGATACTTACCCGTATGACTGTTGAAGTGTGCAAAATTTGCAAAATTTGCTGTAGCATTTGACTGAGGAGGAACAGCAGCAAAGATATCTGAGCCAAGGTCACTGAGTAGATCAAATTGTTTCTTTTCTTGTTGCTGCTGTCCTTGAGATCGAACTACAACAGGAGACTACAAACAACATTTCAATTAGCTAATAAAAGCTGATATTTTACCAAACTGACTTTTTGCAAAATACTAGAAGGATATGTTAATCATATTTCTTTAACAAGACATTTAGTCCTGAAATTTAAGATGCTGTATACAGCACAGATCCTCATCCTATAGTGTGAGGAAGACAATTTGTTTATGTTACCACAGTGGCTTTTAAAGGAACTCTGCAGCAGATTTCCATGGAAAGGAAGTAGCAGCATATAAGCAACTTAAAAAATGTATTTAAAACGGCAAATACTGTACAAATACAAGCAATAAAACTTATTTTTACAAGTTGAAAAATAGTTATTCACTGCAGTCTTAAGAAGTCTTTAGAATTCACTATGGGGAGAGAAAAACTGAAGAATTTCATAGCAAAGCTGCAAGCTGTAAATTTCTACTGTTTGAGTCTGAAGGAGAGTAAAGAACGGACCTCTTCATTACAATCCTAAAGCTAAAACAATTTTTCAAAAAGCTGTCTTCCCTCCAAACTAAGTACATAGTGTTGTTTGGCTTTACCTAAGCAGCATACAGACTCCTCCTGAAAGCCACTTGATGAAGGCACTTAAAGAACGCATTGGAAGTAATAATGAACATGCATGCTTTTCATCCACATATTCACTATTAATCTCATGGTTAACACTATCAGCCATTTTACTGTTTTCAAATGAAAAAATCAAACACGAAAATATATCACATTATGTTCGAACTTTAGAGATATTTATGCAAGAGACAATCGTAATTAAATTTGACAATCACATTGGAAAATTCTCCTTACTGAAAATAACTATTTAAAAGAAACACCAATTTGGTCCACAGAAACAAGCTTAATTTAGAACCTGATCTGCAAACATCTGTATACTTCAATAAAATAGATAAAATGAAGTTGTCTTTAGCATTCACACTATTAGGTAACAGTTGCTATTGCAAGAATTCCTGTGCCACTAAAAAAGTACTGCCGAACAGTTCTGTGCTCTTCAGCTCTCATTACTCACTTGGCTAGGGGTGCCCTTGTTTAAGTGCAGTGTGGGTGCAGCTTCTCCCAAGAGAGATTTGAGTGGCTTCACCTCAGGTGTGCTGCTTGTACTACTAGCAGAAGACCCCGATATGGATGCATGGACTGATGCCACCACCTTTGCTTGCTCTGGAGGAACATACCTACATGCGAAGGACAGCAACAGTTTTTACACGTTTAACATGAAAAGTTCTGCTCAACATTCATAAGACTCAAGTGTGAGAACTGGTTGATCTCAGCTTTGCTATTTTAACCACTGATCCTGCAACAAACTCAATCAGTAGCTGCCATTATTTAAATATGGCGATTTTTTTTTTCTAATTGACTAGAATTCCAAATCATCAATATTTTATAGCACTTAAATACAAACCACATCTTCCACCTCCTAATAAAAACCTGCAAAAAAACCCCTTTTTTTTGTAAATAAAACCCCTTACTTTACACCGTTGTTGACAATCCTTTAAGCCATTTCTGTTCCATCAATATGAACTACACATTAAGAAACTTCTTTAAATAGTTTTTCTTCTCTGCTTCCTGTAATAACTCTGAATAAAGTCCAGAAATCATTTCACTTTACAGAGCTGCGCAATCTAGTCCAAAGAGCACCCAAGGAAAGTACACTCAAGAACATGAGGGTAACAGTCCATCTTCACTTCTTGTCAGAGGCAATCTTTATAATTGTAAAGCTATCTTACCATCTTTTCTTTTCATATTTTTCCTGTAGAAATTCCTTTACTTTCTGTGGATCCCTGAAGTCTGGAATTGCAGATGATCTATCATCAAATAGGCCTAGCCAAATCTGTTTGCACACCTTATAAAAAAAACAACCACAGATTAATCAGAGAAAATATATTCATTCAAAAAAATCTATTTAAGTTTACAATTGTTAATACATCAAACCATTAAAAAGTATGTGGCCACACATTTTTCATTCCAGACTGAGCTGCTTTATCAACCGACTGGTGCACCATGTACTGGTCTAAACACTTAAAAGTTGAAAGACCATCTGTCACAGCAGGACAAGCACATCCTAGCATCCAATTTCACCATCAAATATTGCTTTTACAAAATATCTGTAGTATGCACTCATGAAGGGGCAAAGCACCTGGTTTCTACTTGTGATTTTTAAGACTGTTCTCCTTCACTTAATTCTACACATTCCCTTACTTGTACTTCAGGGTTTAAATTGTTTCAATAGATTCTGTATGCCATAAGCCCCAGACGGTAGCTTTTGAAGGATCTGAGGTTTAGTATTTATACTTATAATTATTATTTCAGAATAGGAACTATTTTTTTTTTAAACAGCCCTTCTTATGATGCAGCTGCTATGGTATCATACACATTTAATTTGAATGAGGGTATGACAGAAGGGGGGAAAAAGTACTCCTGCTCCGATTTTCTAATTGTAGTTGTGAGTGAGCAAAAGTTGAACCAATCACAAAGTTCTCAGTATGTTCAGCTTCAATTCCTGACCAAAACAAGAAGAAAGGTGACTGTTCTCAAAACTAAACAAGACACAGGAGTTGTCACACTTAAAATGTTTTCTTTAAGCACCTAAGACTATTCTGCAAGTAACCTGAATATGCACCCAAACAATATATCAAACAGCTACTCTCTAAAACCAGACTCTGCCATTTTAGAACAGGCTCCTTCCACAGAAGTGGAGTCAATAAAAGCATTGTTCCCATGACCTTCAGAAGAAGCACATGCCCTAACAAGCAAGACCTGCATAAATTGATTGCCCCGAAAGTTAGTAAATTAAGGTAGAAGCTGTGATACTTTCACTACATCATCTTCCTGAGATGGGGGGACACTAACATTGGAGGGGGTTTCTTCTTCTGGCCAGCTAACTGCACCAAAATAACAGCAACTTAGCATCTTTGGGAACACTAGTTACCAAATGTCATAAATCTTACAGGTCCTTTCAAAGATTGCTTAGGATGAGAAAGATTAGACAGACAGCATAAGTATGTATTTCATAGTTGATGTCTCCATTATATATAGCCTGCTTGCATGTCTAACACTCTGCAGTCCTTATTGTCATCTACTGGATAGAGACAAACAACAACAATGGGAAACAGATCTAATGATCAAAGGATAGCTCTAAATTACTGATTTAAATACTCATCTAAAAATAAAATCAGTAGTTGCTACTTCGAATAAACTCAGCTATTCAGCATTCCTTCAGCAATTGCACTCCTCAAAAGGGTTAAGTTCAATGCTCTGATTTGAGTTTGCAAATAAAGTCATTATTTGCAGTATGGTACTAGATTAAATGAAACTGAAGGTATTTAATACCTCATACAAAGTTACAAGACATAAATATCGTCAAAAAAGTCACAAGTCTGTTCTAAAACGATAGCAAATAGCACAAAACGCTTTTAATAGTAACAATCTTTCACATAAGCAGTACTGTTACTGAAAAAATTTATAAAGGCAGAACGTTTATGGATATAGCCTTAAATATCTGCAGTGGATGGTTTGACATGGTCCAGCAGTAGTATTTTTATACTTAGATTTGTGAGCATAACTGTACCAACTAGTAGTCATATGATTGCTAGGAGGAAAAGAAGTCCTGTTTATGGCTAGTTACAGCATATCTAGCCGCAGGAGTTAGTGGTGTCTGAATACACACAGTCCCATTCCATCCCAGCCCACCACCCCACCCCTCCACCATCGACGTCAGTATTGGGACAAACATCAGGAAACACTGAAGAAAAAGTTGTGCCCAAGTTCAGACAAGCAGATAGATAAGCGTTAGAACAGCCCCTACTGGATCCCACACCTAGCAGAATAACACTCAGGACTGTACCATGATGATCGATTTACATCCAGCCTAAGATGTGCTAGTGAATGAAAGGGGAGGTCCTTTCCCACACCCACATGAGGCTACGAAATTACTCCCCCTCCTCCTATCACCCAAAACCAGTCAGATCAAGGAAACTCATCGCAGTTACCATGTCACTAGTATCACTGAAACCTGTACTGAGATCAATTCACAGCAACAGGCAAACCACATGTCAGTTTTTCACCTTTCTCACTCCCAGTTTTCTGCTTTATCTTCACCCTAAAATACCTAAGCATTTAGATGGAAGGGAGGAAAAAACAAAACAAAACAAAATACCACACCACCACAAACAACCCACAACAACAAATAGTCTTAAGCCTTCCTCACCACTATAGGTGATTTCTAAGAGAAATCAGAAAATAAAGTCCTGCCTGACTTTAGGTCATTTACCAGCTATGCAGCTACAGCACATAACAGTTCTATGAATATGCAAACAGGTATGAAGGAGGACTGTGCTGTCCGTTGCTGGTTTAAAATGATGCAAGCTTCTTAAAGGCATCAATTCTGACATTGCATTACAATTTTTGTATGTCTTCAAAAAGCAGGCTGCCAAAAGCATTTCCTGAAGCAACTAATTTCTTCTAAACACTTCACACAAAAGCAGTAACAACTTAAATATGCCTTAAGTCACTATTATAACTTATTTAAACCTGGCAGGCACTCTTTATTGGTTCTCTGTTACTGGTAGCAGAGAGAACAGTATTACAAACAGGCTGCACACAACCACCAAGCAAAAGAACCTAGACTTAGTTGCACATGCTTCGGCAAGAAATTCTCATTTTAACAGAGTTTGACCGCAGCAGCTATACAAACACAGGTTACTTTACCACACCAGAGATGCAAATTAAATTTCACATAGGTTTCTTTACTTGAAGAGTTCTCAGCGAAAGTATAATTTCTTAGAAGTCTTAAACACGGACAAGTCATTTTGAAAGCCAAATTTTAAAGCTTTAATATCACAAAAGAAACTTTAAAAGGCACAGTTTTGTCTGCATGAAGTACCACACAATGCTTTGAACATCAGTAGCCATTCCAAGCAAGCATTCAGGACACAACAAAAGGCCCATTGTTTCCTTGTTTGCTGGTGATCTGTATGCTCTTTACTTTTGTTACTATCATCTGACTTGAAGCATAATCAATGCAGTATTGTGAATTCTTGTCAAGTGAGTGATAACAGACAATTTTCAGCTACCTACAAAAAAGAAATGGCAATGTGCTGTGTAATACCATAGGATGAAATCAAAATTGGAAATTAAAATTAAAGAATACTGTTGTCAGAGACAACAGTATAGAACTCGCATTGTTATACAATTGTTTTTGAAATAGTTATCTTTCCAGTCTTAAAATAAGTCACTAACAGGACCAAATCTTGTGCAAAGAAGAATTTGCTGTGAGAAACGTGATTATTTTTACTGATCAGGTCATCACATTTTTAATTTCAAAGCTATTTAAAAGTTACTCTTATGAAAGGTGAAGGAAATTTATGCCATACAACTTCTGTTGATTTATGGTGGGGAATGATCACTCAGCATTTACATTTTTGGTACCCTGATTAGTCCCCACTAATCACAGCTTTTAAATGCACTATCCAAATTTGACAGCACTTGAAATACTAAAAGATTAATTGTAACAACAACAAAAAATCAGTAGAAATGTAGAAAAATCAGATCGGCAACTTTAGTTGTCAATATTTCAACATAAGCTTCAGTTCTATGTTCTGTCTGGCCTGACAGCTGTCTGGGCAGGACATCTGAACAAATTAGCACACAACTATTCACAGTATGTGCTGACTCTTGCCCAGACATTTCTTGTAGGACATGGGGGAAAAGTGAAAAAAAGCAGTAACGGGCATATAAATCTGCACAAAACCAGGCTTTAAGCAACCAGTCGCTCTGCTAAACAGGAAGTTTTCTTTTTAGTTTTCTAATACAAAGCTTACTATTTGAGAAAAAAAAACAAGGAAGTAATTAAAAGAAGCAAAAATTCACAGCAATATATGCTTTGAGAAATTTGAATTTGATATCCCAAACAACACGTATTTCAAAACACTTCTCTACTCCAATTATTCCATACGTAAAATCCGACTTGCAGCACTGACCCAGAAAACGCTACTGTCCAAGTTTCACGATCCATCTTAAGCTCCATTTTAACAGAATTACTCATTCCTTGCCTTTTACAGATAATACATGAAGAAGCATCCCAACATACCACGAAGTCATACAACATTACTACTAAGGTACTATGGCTTTCTGAAATCCTCCTACATTGCACCACCTTCTTGGAGATACTCCCATAATATTAAATGGTTCAGCCATTTAATATTAACATTGTTCTTTCTGCAACAGCAGCACAAATAAGTCTCTGCTCAAAAGCTCTGTTCATTCACCAAAAGCCTTGCTATACTCCTCCTTTTGATAACCAAAGCTCTATTAAACAAAATGCTTTGCTTAGAGGAGGAAAGCCTGGCAAGCTGGAGCCAAGAGTAAACATTCAAGTTATGTGGAAGCCCCTAGAAACAGTGGAACATATCCAACAATCCATAATCGTTGTCCACTGTCCCTGAAAAGTATAATTAGTTCATGTCCCTCTGGCTCATCAATGCAGCAAGAAGAGAAAAAGACAGCATTGAAGTCAGAATGATTATGTGTGTGTGCAGCATTTGAAAATCTACTTTTGTTGAAGGGTTGACAGAAGCAAGACTTTTGAAGTTTTGCCTGCCTCTACTACATTGTAGGAGCTACCAAGTAACAAAGCAAAGTTTTACCTTGTCTGGTAACAATAAGTAGAAAACAAGATTCAGCAGTTATCTTCATAAAATTTAAAAGTTCATGAGAATCCTTTTACAGCCAGCTTCGTAAGAACAGTACCTGTTCTCCGCCAACAAGCTCCAACCCTGCAAAGGATGTCATTAGGCATTTGGCAACTAGATACTGGGAAGTTCAGAATTAGCTCAGTAAGTACAG